GGGCCGCCGGGGCGCTGCGAGACTGGAGAAGTTGGCGAGGTGAGTCGTGGCAACCCCAGAATCCCATCTGCGGACCCGTGTCTCGCTCCCTACACCCGTGCCAAGTCCAAGGGAGGCTTTGGGCTGGAGAGGCAGACTTCCAAGTTTCACCCACGGGCTGCCCACTTCTGTTTCTTAGCCCGATAGAAAAGAAGACCCACCTCGGTGGAGTCCCTCTAACAGCTCAGTGCTGATAATCACGTACATTTTTGAAGTGTCAAGGAAAGTGGTTTCGTACATTAAATTTTTTAACTGTCAAGGCAAGGCGTATTTTTGCACTTTTGCAAACATGCACCCTTTGTTTAATTTGTCAAAAGCCATCACAATGCAAGAATGCTTTATCTAATTCTCATGTTTCACTGGAGAATTTTGCGGAAACCTTAGATCTGATTGAGTTGGAAAAGTTAGATGTTTACCAAGGACTGGCAGCCTCTCGTTCAACCTGGAGTACCCCCATGCTTAGAACAGAAGAGACACTTGACCTAAGTTTATTAAAAAGTTCTCTCCTTGAAAGGACTGATGCGTGGCACAGAAAAGACAGAGTGGGGGTTTCCAGATCCTCATTCTGTTTCAGGCTCAAGTGTGGTCAAAGGGTTCTCCTACTAGAAAAACATCTTAACCTTCGACCTTACGTTTGATACTCTCTTTCCCTACACAAAGCTTAACACGCGGAGGCTTTTCATCAGAGCGCTTTATATTTGGCCTTAGGGTTGCTGGAACGCCCCGCAGGTTAGGGATTTGCCTTCATTTCCTTTGTTGTGGAGGGCTTTTCAACAATCCCCTTGTCTTCTAGTGAGTCTGTTTCATCTGCCCTTTCAAAACTGTTGTTTCTAACTGCCAATGCAACGTCCTCGTTTGCTGGGCTCCTTAATTTCAACCTGAAGGGAGGTGAAAAATTCCTTTTAACCATAATGACTAAATCTCTTTGGTGCTTTTACTGTAACTAAGAGAAAAGACATGAAACCTCAAGAAGTAGCTGTGTCAGCTTTTGTTTCCCTTCTGCCTCACTACAGATGGGTACTGACAAGTTTTAGAGGGAAAAAGACCCCAACAATCTGTCACTTTAAAGTACTTATAACACTTTACAGCCCCTTCTGGATGTGTACAGTCTTTAAGGATATGTCTGTTAGGAAATTAATAGGATTTCTCCTCTTCTATACTGGTGTTTCTTATGATAGATTAATTAGGGTTTAACTGCAAGTTTAATATGATTGCTAAGTTTGATGGGACAACTGGTAAGATAATAATAATAATGTCACCCTTAACATTGTTAACCTATTGCCAGGGATATTGCTAACCGCAGTACACACAAATAGTCACAGTTAACACTTACATATACAACTACATAATCCACACCATAATCTCCCCCAACCCCCACTGCCTTTTTGTTTTTTTGAGACAAAATAAATCATGGCACATGCAGTGCCATGATCTCTGCTCACTGCAACCGCCACTTCCCAGGTTCAAGCCTCCCAGGTTCAAGTGATTCTCATGCCTCAGCCTGCCAAGTAGCTGGCACACAGGCGTGTGCCACCATGCCCAGCTAATATTTGTATTTTTAGTAGAGAAACGGGGTTTCACCATATTGGCCAGGAACTCCTGAGCCCAATGATCCACCTGCCTCAGCCTCCCAAAGTGTTAGGATTACAGGCGTGAGCCACCGCGCCCTGCCCACACCATAACCCTTTGATAGTGGTTTTCAAAGTGTGGACTTTAGACCAGTTGCACAGGCATCATCTGGGAACTTGTTAGAAATGCAGATTCCTGGGCCCCACCCTAGCCCTACAGAATCAGAAGCTTTGTAGTGGTGGTGGTGGTCAGCAACCGTGTTTTAACAAGTCCCTCCCATTGTTTCTCACGCACAACAAAGTTTGATAAAGTGCTTTGCAAAGCACCAATGGTATCCCCACTTTTCAGATGAGGAAAATATTGCACAAGGGTTAGTAATTTTTCCAAAGTTCACAGGTAACCTGGTAGAGAAAGATAAAGATCCAGGCAGTGTGGACTCAGGTTGAGCACTTACGTGCTATGCTGATGTCATGCCATAGACTTGCCTGCAATTCGTAATTTTACTGAGATTTTTTTAAAGAAACACTAGATTTTTGGATCTGTCTCATTCTTCAAGGTGTTGAGAACAGTGGCGCAGCATCTTTTTGTCTCTATCTGAACAAAGTGGCTCTGACTAGGAGGAGATCATGAACAGAATCCAAATGGATGTTTTAGGGAAGGACTATTTCCAGGAGCAACAGTACCCTTGAAGCCATTTTTCTTTTGAACATATCTCTTAGATTATCATGGAAATCATGGCCAACACCATAGGAATAAAGAACAAAATTTTAAAACTGGAAAAGGAGTAAAAGACAAAAGCCACAGGAAGTCTCAGGCTCAAGTGCATAAACAGTTGACATTTTCTGGGACTTATTTATTGTTTCTCTTGCTACCTCGACAGAAATGGCAGCAGAAGACTCTGAAGTTGTGAGGGAGTAGGAGGATCTCTGCTAGGTCTCTTTTATTGCTTTCCTAATTCTGCTTGGGTTAAATTTTTGTGGTTTAGGAGGAATTTCATTTAGGGAGGGAAGAGAAAGCCTCGTGTTTTCAAAAAACGAGTGCTTTAATCTCTTTACATGGCTAGAATCCAGAAGAGATGAAGGCTACGTGATCTCATTTCTCTGGTCTGGGGAGGGTCAGGCTTGTGGTTGTAGTTAGCTGAGAGCCTGGAGTTGGATGTGACACAGTCCACCACCTGCTTACCATCCACAGCCTGTGCTGCCTCGCCTCCCACAGGGGGCTGCTGTAAGTGAAGTTCTGCCACGTCAACGCAGGAAACGTAGCACTCTCCTTCCACATCTTGTTTTCATTTCACAGAAGTTTCCAAGGACTTGCCTCGTTAGTAGGCAGACCCTTCAATTTTATAACTAGTCATTTGTATACAATCTGTCCTGTGGTGGCCTCCTTCTCTATAAATATAAAGCCAGGAGGTAAGTAAGGTCTGAGCTTTTCTGTCAAGGGGGGGATTTGAAAACGGACACCATTCTGGAAGCAGCAGTCCCAGTGCACAAAAGAAATGAAATCTTCCTTCTATTTTGGCTTATTGGTGATTTACAGCTGGCTGACTTCCAAAAAGAATCTGAGGCGACGTATAGTAAAAGACACATATACAATAAGTCCATTGAAATGGTATGAAAAATGAAAAGTCATAAAGAAGAGGGGTAAATAAATACTGTTCATCAAAAATAAACAGTACTTCTGTTAGTAGGATTAAGTGTTAAATTTAAGCCTGGCAGCCATTTCAAAAAGGGAACCTTGAGGGGCTGCCTCATTTTCACTGAATAAGAGGAAAGGTTTATCAAGAGAGATCTTTTTTTTTTTTCCTAAAACTGAATCATAAAATGAGAATTGTACTTGGGAATAGATTTTAGACATTAGAAGACTCGCTCTAGGTTGCTTCTGAAAACTCCTCCTTGAGCCTACATGTGGAAAAGGAAGGTTAACTGCTAATCAGCGCAATATAGGAAAGAAGTTGGCATGTGGGGTTCAGCAAATTGGGTTCTAGTCCAAAGCCATTTCACCTTATTTTCTTCATCTGTGAAATGAGCAAATTAATCCAAAAGTTGTCTAAGATATCTTCCAGCTCAGACATTTGATGATCCTGTGATGAGATCATCAAGTTTAGCAGCAAAAGCCCAACAATGGCTATTGCATGGCCCTTTGTGCTAACTCTTGCAAAATCACTGTTTCCCATTTATGGGCTCCATCCTAGGGCTCTTACTGATTACTCAACCGCAACCCTGTCCTGAACTTTATTCTTTTTCTTCTGTGTTGGCCTGGATATTGCTGTTTCTCTTAAAATATGGCTTCTAAGGGAGACTTAAGCTACTTTAAGCCCTGTAGTTTTCCTCTGCCATTTTATTCCATAGTCATTCAGCAAATGTGATTGCACATTTACTCTATCAGGCACTCCTGGTACAATGGTGAATGGAGTTGCTGCCCTCCCAGAATTTGGGGAGGAGGGAAAGGAGACAATACAGAAACGCATTACACTTGGCAGCCTCCCCAGCTGCTCCAATGAAAGGAAGCATGTGTCTCATCAAGAGGCACCATTTCCTGCAGTTCCCTTTGGTGTCTGAGATAAGTCTTCTCAGAGTGTTCAAACCTGAATAAAGGTCTCACTAAAAGGGATGGTGTTCTGTAGCAAAATGCTTCATCTATGTCCATCCTATAATTAGCTAATAGCCCCAGAGCACATTAAAGGTGTCTGGATCTTGAGTACTGTCTATGATACTATGTAGTGTGAGTCTTGATTCTGTCCACAATTCATTTTTGTTGATTGGTCCATGAATCCCCTCGATCACCCTCCACACCTACTCAGTCAGTAAGCCCTGTTGGTTCTGTCTCAAAAATATATCCCCAGTTCCACCATTTCCACTCCATAGTTACTTAGTGAGGTCCTAACCACCATCATTCCCTAGCTGGACACCTACAGGTGCCTACTCTCTGGTTTGTGTGGTTCCACTCTAGCGCCCTCTACAGTCCATTTTCCTTACGGCCGCTGAAATAATCTGTAATAGGTAGACCAGATGGGGTCCACCTATTTGCTGGTTAAAGCCCTCCAGTGATTGACTTCCTATCACACTAAGAATAACTTTAAGTTTCCCGGTGTGGCCTTTGAGCCCTTGCCTGATCTCAACCCCATTTAGTTTTCTGGCCTCCTCTTCTACCACTCCCCATTCACTTACTCTGCTTCAGCCACACTGGGCTTCAAATACACCAAGTCCATTCCTGCTTCAGTAGTATGCATCTCTCTAGTGCTGGAATGTTTGCGCACATCCTAGCATGACTAGCTCCTCCGTTTCTTTCAGGACTGTTCTCAAATATTTTCTCCTAAGGGGGTCCTCGCCATCACTCTCTTCTTCCTTACCCTGTTTAGTCTTTTGTTTTTCAGAGCACTCATTGTGTGAATATTGTATGTTATTTGCTCCTGCCCCCTCATGTACACTTAA